GGGTAGGGACTGCAGATAGCTGTCCTTTTAAATAAATGGGGTAGTCATAGTGCCTACCTGCGGGCAGGGGTGGGGTGGGAGGGGCGTAAAGAAGATAGCTGCTGTTGCGCCAGAAACCTGAGCTTCAGTCTTAGGGCCTGTAGACTCTTTCCAGAGATGTGTCAAGCACCCACAGCATGCTAGGCCAGTGCCCTCAGCTTCCAAGTCACGTGTGTGTGTGTGTGTGGGGGGCACAGTATCACACCCAGGAGATGCTGAGCACAGATGGAAATAACAGGAAAGGGGACAGTGGAGGGTGGGACACCAGCAGTGTAAGGAGAGACCACACTGAGAAGTGACACTGAGCAGAGAAGGGACAGAAGTGACCAGGGAGAGAGGTTCCAGGCAGCGGGTATATGAGTGGCTGGTGGGGCTGTAGTGGGGGTGGGGGAGTGGGAGAGCAAGAGGCCAAGGTTAAGGCTCCAGCTTTGACTCTGAGCCAGGGGTAGCTCTGGGAGGGTGTGGAAGACTGGGCTGCCTAGGCACCAGCTGATGGACTACTGGACCAATTCAGGTGTGAGCTGGGGGCTGGAGCCAGAGTAGGGTCTGGAGATATTTTAAAGGGGGATGCTGGCCAGATTTGCTGTCAGGTACCATGTAGGGAGGTGAGGGATTGAGATGGCCCAGAGATGCCCGCCTAAGTTTTTGGTGGTAACAGCAGAGAGGTTGAAAGGGGAAGCCTACAGGAAGAGTGGGGACAGGGAGGGTGGTGGGTGATAAGCTTTGGGTTTGTGCCGAGCAGGTCCCAGGGGGTATTTAAGATCATGGAGCCGATGACTCTCCCACATGCTGGCCTTTGTAAAGCTATCAGGGTGGCCAACCGCAGGGGGACCCCCTGCCCTGCCTTCCTGACCTAACCATCGATATAACATCGTTCCTGTTGTGTCTACAAAACTGTCCTTTGTGTTCTTTACAGCCTGCTCAGGGAACATCTCTTTTGGGAAGCCCCCTGAACCCCGCCCCTG